GAAATGAACCCACAGTCTCCTTCTTCTTTTTCCTCTTCGTCAACTTCTGTTTTGGCTCTTCATCACTACTCACTACCAACACTTCCCCAGCGGCGATGAGCTCCTCAATGATGCGATCAGCCTTCCGATCGAGCAGGTAAACATCACTCGGCGTTGCCGCCGGTGTGACTTCCCCACACTCTTTCGTCAGGTCAACCACAATCTTATTAGAGCTCGTCTGGGAGGTCCGTTGGTGTCTGGTCTCCAGAAGGCGACCCTGCATCATCATTTGCGCATTGACTAACTCGTCTATAACGTTCATGAGACCGGTCCTCGCTTTCTTGAAGGTTTCTTCCCGGACCTTCGTCATCGACGCCTTCTCAAGCTTCATCGCCATGATTAGCCTGAGGAGTTCATCCGACAAATCCCTCCGACGACGACTCAAGGTGCAGGTATAATCCCGCAACTCGACTGTATCCACAATGGATCCGACGCCGTAGGAGTACTGTTCTACGCCCTCGCCCTCGCCATCCTTCCGCTTCTTTGTCGGTAACTTGGGAGTTTCCTCCACAGTTTCCCACAAAACCGAAAGGAGACTCTCCCGTCTTCCTATCAACCAACTGTCTTGTCTCTTTTTTTCCATATCCTTCTTTATCAACATTTGCATTTAATTTTTCCATAAAATTCCCACGAGATGGGGACGATCTATTTAGTCCATTATGTCACTGCGCCCCTCTGACATAATAAGGAATTTATACCCCCTTCCTTCCCAGGGGGGATCCCTATAGACACGGTATTTTTACCTCCTCCGTGCCAAAATATTCTCATAGCTAAGTACCTGAGCTTAGGAGGTGTCTGGAACATCCAATTAAGGATGCTCCTCGCCCTTGTGCGTCCGCAAGGCAGATCCGATGTAGGACCCCTCGGTTGTCCGTCATATTAAATGACGGGCCGAGCGCGTCTGATCCAGCTAACCAAAGCCAGATCCGCTTGCAACCCCTACTAATAGTTAAATTAACAAGGGTAGCCCCCCCCCCCCAGAGACTTTTAAGACCCTAGGCGGTTCTCTGACTTTCCGTTGCACGGTCAAGTCACCCGAGAATCATTTAAGTTCCCCGATGTTTTTCTCTGAAGGGGTTATCGAGTTGCAAGTTTCCCCCTCGAGTCGGGGGCAGTGTCAGCTGCCGGACCGAACCTGGTTCAGCTGATAAAGGCCACTTCCAGTTAACGAGTTTCGGAGAGCAGGCTCCCCGTTACTCCCCAGGGTCCACAAATTAATGTGAACCCCGGTCTAGTGCCCTTAAGGCCTGTCTATCAAACTTGATAGCCGTTTTCAGAGTCCAGGTTTTAAATTCCAGACTCCGTCTCGTCATCGAAATATCAATGCGATTTAATCCATCGGTGGGGCCCTATTTATTATAGGAGACGGGTATCTTGAGTCGGCACTGAGTTTGGTTTCAATTCCGACCTCTCTGACACCGTAACCGAGCGCAACGAAGGACGGCGGAGTGTACCAGGCACAGCGAGACCAAGGGTCAGTCGTGTCTGAACCCAGGGTGCGTGACCCCCCGATGCACCACCGCGACTCACCGAGAGCATCGGACCGGGGTCCAATTATTCCAAGTGAGCGCGTAGTGGCACAGCAAAAAGCTAGAAGCGATTCCGCCGGGTCAATCCGCTCTACGCAGAGTACAAACCGCACATCCATCGCCACGCCGGAAGCGGCGACGAATGCGTACCGACTCAACCCACACGTCTGCGGGCGAAGTCAGCACCGCGCGCCGGAGCCGCCTCACGGCAGCTCCGACGCGCGGATTCGGTTTGTCTTCGAGTATTTGCTATAATCGTTCTGAGTTATCTCCTACTCGCCGAGCCGGGCGCCCCGCCGTAATCGAGACAAGCATATAATAAATTTATAGTTTACCGTCAGAAGCCACCTGCTTCGGACGCATCGCCCAAACCGCCGTAGCGGAAGGGGCCGATGGGTGGAAATGGGTTGCCGTTAGCCAATATTGCTTTCGCGCTACCGTTGACATCTACCACTGCGAGGAAGTCGCAACCCATGGGTACGTACGCGGTTCCAACCGCGTACGCAGCGAAAGCCACACGATCCTAAGCCGCGGACGGGGAAGATGACAAACCGCTAGCACGACACACTAGCGCCCGAACCTTGCAAAGTTCGGACGGCAGCGCGAACGCACCATCGGCCCGCATCGTACCCGCGGCGTTACAGATTGTGGCTGATAGGTGTGGGTATGTGCGTTGGTTTCTTTTAGGTAGTGGATTATGTTTCTATAGCTGTTAGGAGTGTCTGCTTGGATTTTGAGGTGAGTGGTGGTAGATTTGCACGAAAAACTGTCAGGGGCAGTGGCTTCTTTTAGGTTGTTATGTAGTCCAATGAAGTCATGGATGCCTTTGATAAATATGGATGGAGGCAAAATGATTTTAGATGCGGCTTTGGCGATATTCTGTGTTTCGCGTAACATTGTTGCCTTTCTTCAAGTTTTTCTCTGTTCTAGAGTGTTTATGCTCGCCATTGTCGTTGTTCCCGCTAGCGTTGTTCTGTTCCGGTTTAGTGTGTTTTGGTTGTTTTTTATGCGCAGATGCAAGCATTGTATCTCAGTATCTTGCAGGGGCTTATTTAGTGAAATAGGGGCCCTGTGCACTATAAACTTTGGGTGCCTTTTTTAACAAAAAATGTAAAAAATAATAATAGGTACATATTTAACAATAAAAAGTTCAATTCATTTATTTAATTATAATAGACATTTTTTTCTTGTTTTTTTGCAAATTCAGCAATTTTGTCTTCAAATGTTAACTGTTTAGTAACATCATGGTTGATTGCCAGTAATGATAAGGAGTCCAGTTTTTTTTGTGTTAAAGTAGAGCGCATTCGATTTTTTATACGTTTGAGTACAGAGAATGAATGTTCACTACTACAATTCGTGCACGGCATTAATAAATATATTTGTAATATAATGTCCAAGTTGGGAAAAGTATGGCGAATATTCATTCATCGAATATATTTCAAACAATAATGGGGATCTTGAAAAAAATTATTACCGAAAAATGACTTTTTGAACTGGCTTATTAGTGATTAGTGTAAACCGTATGAAAACTACGCATTCTGTGGCGTCCTCCTTAAATAGGTTATAGTTACTACTTACTAAATCTTATTAAAAATATCTTTTATTTATGGTAGCAAAGTATAGAATAGGAAGGCCGAAGGGGCCCTTCAAATTTGGGGGCCCTGTGTTAGTGCACCGCCTGCACATGCGTAAATCAAGGCCTGGTATCTTGTGTTGTACTTCTTCGTGGAACGGCTAAATGGTCGCACGTGCGCGGGTTGCAATTATTTCTTGTTGTTTTTGTTATTACGTCCCCGGGACGAGTCGCGTGGGATTAAATCCGCCATTTAACGTACCACAGGTGAGTTTATTATAATGGCCGACTGGCCTTAAAGGGTTTAATTATATTATTATCATTATTATTATTAGTTTTTATAGTTGTATTTTATAGTATACTGTTGTGCAACACATTATATTCTTTTAGTAGCCATATAGGCCTATGTTGTATTTTATTATTTGTATTGTTCTACCACATAGGCGATATAATTTTTATATTGTGTTATAAATATAAATCCATGATCATTATCAATTATCATGTTGCTTATTATTATACCATCTTTTATCATGTCTCTTTATTAATTGTAATTATAACCACATGTATACCATTATTATATTGCACAATAAAAATTGATTGTTATCAACACAAATGTTTGTTATAAATTTTAAAATAATGAACAGCATCGATAGGCCATGTTAAATTGCCTATTCTCTGAGCCGTGAAAGTCTCCCCTATTAAAACTATAGAAGGCTGAACGCGAGCTAACAATAATGATTGTTTATTATTCGACATCGATAACGGCTTGTCTGGAAGCATCTGAGATTGTCGAGTCTGATTATTATTTATTTTCGGTCAGCGACTATTTCTTACTAAAAAAGGTATAGGTATACAATTTAAATAATAGATAACTCAATTGTTTTTTAGCTTAGACAAATGCTATTGCAACAGAAACCTTCTCCGTGATATACTCTTTCATTTAAAAATAAAATCAAGAAGATCTGATAAGTACTTCCAGAGTTTACCCCATACAAAGATTTTCATTTCACATTTATACAGTTAGATGTTCTGGATACATTAAAATTGTAGGTTGCGCAAACCACAGATAACACTCCTGTTGATTATTTATTTATTTATTGATCTATTATTTATGGTCATCGCATTGACTGTAAAAAACATATATAAGCACATGATTACACTATAGTAGCCCGTAGTAACTTTTATTATAATATTATGCTCGTAGGTACAACAACTAAAAAAATATTACCGTCTTGGATCACATTATCATATTTAAGCGTAGGCACATTGTTGCCGCCACAATTTAAAATACCATGTTATCATGTTGTTGATAGTGGTTATTATTATCAGAACATTTTGGATAGTTTTCTTAATATTAATTTTGCATTATTCTCTCTTATTGCCAGGCAGTTGACTTATAATTTATAAACAACACATAAATTATTAGTGATCGGGAATTCAGCACCCTGCCGGTCACAAGTATCGGACTTACCCGTTGTACCAGCCGTCGTCGTCGGTAGATCGGGCGCGCACTCGAGTCACGCAGCCCCTTTTCCCTCAGTCGAAACGGGCGGCGGAAGCGAATTGGACCAAGCCCCCTCAGTTCACCGGAAATCCTGACCACCTTATCCCTCTGGCCCACTCTTCGGTCGCCATAGCAGCCGTCACCGCGCCGTCGCGGCTCGAGCTCCACATCTTCTACAGGTAGTGTATCTTTTGATACACCTAACTACGTCGTTATCCCCTTGGATTTGTGTCAACTAGCTGGCGAAGTGACGATTGACACCCCGACAGTGTTTTGCAAGTGCCCACTAAGTGCACATCGACTGCTAGCCTATTCGGGTTCTGTTTTGTTATAAGTGCAAACATATCTTGTCGACATGGAACGAGCACCGTCCGGCGGACAAGGTCCTAAGGTAAAGATTATGTGTCTTGGTCACCAACTTGGTAAAATATATACATCACCATCTAAACAACAATTGTTGCTAAGCACAGTGGCACCGCTTCAGTTTTAGGCTGCCAAATAATAAGATGGGTTCAATATTTATTTCTACTAGGCCACAAAAGTGACAGTACTTAATGCAATAGATTGTAGTGGTGTCATATATTGATTTACGTATGGATTACAAAATAAATATTTTTAAAAGTCTACCATAATTAAAACCTTTCACTTCTTCCTGTTTTCAATGATGACAGTTGTCAAGACGCTTCATTTTTTGTATTCATAAGAAAAATGTCCATAAAAAAATATATAATTTTAAAAGAACTTACTAGTACCTTCATTCATTTATTTAATAAATGTTTGGTATTTATTTTATTCTATGAAATACTTTAACTATGGCTTTACTGGCACCAGTATAAAACTAAGGCTATATAAGAATATGGTATAGTTAAAATAAAACTATGGTATGCTCTGTGACACCTCATTACCTCAATGATGGCTCATTTCGATTATTGATGATAAACTATCGTTTCTTTACCGCTCTATAACAATATGAAATATCTTATAATATTTAAGGGTATTTAAAATTATTGCTCTTTTTAGATACCTGTACTACTTCCAAATGTATAGAATCTAAATTTTAAACTTTTTTCGGATATTTTAATAATATTTGCCTGCTTATTTGTTAGTTTTTGGGAATTTATATTTGTATACAAACAATACATTAAAATAATTATTTTTTGTAAATATAACATTGTATATAATATTGCTATGAATAATATATTTTTTATTGTTTTTGGTACTTTTAACAGAGGAGAAAACCAAATCGTATTATTGATTTAGATATAAAACGCTCCATTGGAGCTATATCTTCCATGGAATATAAACGTCGCACAATTATCAATGAGATCAATTATGTCGCATATGCACTTCATAAAACATCTTTGCCAGCAATTTACATTAATCCAATTAGAACAGGCGCTCCAAATTATGTACAAGATGATATTCTAGCGATGGAAGTTGATCCAAGGGAAAGTAAATGGTATGTATATTTTATAATGTAAAAATTAATGTTCTGGGTTTTAAGTAATAAGAAATTAAAAAAGTTGTTATTGCTTCTATATCAATAACTATATCAATGGATAGTATATTAATAGCATATTGTCGTGGGATGTGATGCATATCTGTTAAAGTTAAGATAGGTGTTATAAAATAAGATATTATAACACCTTTAGAAAGTTTTACAGATAATATTATATTAATTAATATTTTATGTTTTTATTTAAAAAAAATTATTTTAAATGTTATCTTGAAATGGTTTGGGCTTTTTTTTAATAAAGTAAAGAAAGGGTATGAAATGTTAGGGTATATTAATATTAAATTGGTTTTCCTTTGACATTAATGTAATTTACTTAAAGTAGTGAATTTATTATAAAAAAAATAAAATTTTAGATTTAAAATGTGTTTTTTTTTTTTAGTTTGCTAGTCATATCCAGGTATAACAGTGTTGCTATTTATAATGTTTCTCAAAATGTTAAAATCTTTGATCAAATGAAGCGAATGACAATTCCACATGACCCAATTGATAATAATGGATCACCAAATTCAGCACATTGGCTTTGGGATGGTACAGTATTTACTGTTTGCACTATGGATTCTGTACACTTTTGGGATTCATTTACTTGTAAAATAATTGAAACTGTGAAAATGCGTACAAAAGTTTTGAACCATGTGATGGCTGCAAAAAAATATAGTGTTAACAAATATGTCGCAGGTACTACATAATTTAGATTTAAGATTAATCAACTATAAAAATGAATGAAAAAAAAAATTTATTTCTAGTGACAGGAATTGAAGGACATGTATTCATGATTGATATGCTGCATGGTATTGTTGTGATGACAATGAGAAATATTGAAAAAAAACCAATAAGAGCTATCCATTGGCATCCAACAAATGAATTACAATATGTTACCGGCAATGATAATGGAAACATTTACTTATGGGATATTCGTTTTCAAAGAGATTTTGTTTTCAAATTTAAAAATGAAGATTCGTTTTCTGTATCAACAAGCCATTCTAATCCAGTTATTGGGTTACGGTTTTATAATGATGGAAATAGTGTTATATCTGTTGATAACAAGGGAGGCATCAAAACATGGTAATAATTATTATTTATTAACCATTAAGATATTATGATATGAGAATTTTTATTTAGATATATTTTAAATCATTGTTCAATTGTTAATTAATCAAATACCTAGACATTTATAAAATTACTGTCAGTATTTATTATTTAATTTATTATTTAATTTATTAATAAATGTGCATGTTATATTGATCTCCATATATTGAATAGTTACTTAATATTTTCTAAAGAAATTGAAGTTACAAGATTAAAAATAAAATCAAAAAGCCCATACATTTCTCAACTTAAAATAAAGCAACTTTCCAATATTGAACAATATACTGTAATTAAATATTTTTAAAAAAATGTATTAAGAGCAACTAAGTAGCTAATGATTAATTCTTAATTGCAGGGAAGTTAGTACTGGTCATCTACGTCCTAATCACTATGAATCTGTACCATTGTGTGACCTTAACAAGAATCATATTTTTAAAGATTATCAGTTTGCTGTTACTGAACATTTAAAAGAAGACATTGTGTTTTTGCCTTCAAAAAGAGGGATGAGAATATTTGATATCGAAAGTGGTGAACATTTACCTTTTTCTAATGATATACCTCTACCTATGAACTGTGCTACTTATGATAGTAAGCGATTTTGTGTTTATGGAGGCTCTAATGACTTAATAAAACTATGGACTCCTGAAAAAAAAATGTCTGACTGAACTGTATGTTTTCGATGGCAAATTATTGTATTAATTTTTTTTACAATCTTCTAATTTCTTTACCTTTATATAATCTCAATTCATATTTCATACTAGTGCAATATTGTTATTATATTGATAATTGATATATTATTTTTTCTATATGATTAAAGTGAAAATTTCAATTTTAGCTAGTTTCAAAGTATAGAGGTAAATAATGGTTGACTGAGCCTCAAAAATATTTTGACTAAATCTAGCGCCGTAACAATTATTTACATTTAAAATTCTGCAAAATAAACCAGGAAATTATTTTTTAATGTAATCAACACTTAAAATATATTGGTTGCATATGATGTAAAAATTATAAAAAGTGCAATTATTTTTTCGGTTAACACTAAAGTTCTAGGCTGGGTTATGTGTAATACTTAAGAGGTTGTTATATCCACGTTAAATTGAAAAAAAAATGTATGTATTTAAATTTGAAATGGCTTGCATTCAGTCAATTTTAATTTTGAAGCAATAGTTTCAGAGTTAAAATAACTGAGTTGTACCTACTATTGTATCAAAAAATATTAAATCATATTATTAAATTATAACTTATACAATATGAGTCTTACTGTGCATACTTGTATCGCACGTTTGTATAATGTATATTATAGATACCTATAGCTTGCCAAAATTATCTTAACTATTTCCATTGTAACCACGCTGAGAAATTTAGGGTTATCTGAAAAAATGATCACACTGTATTCGGTAATTTGTCTTAAAAAACTTCTTTTTTCGTGTTTTTTTATTTGTTAAAAAGTTTTATGTAAGGTTACTCCTATAATAATAAAAGTATGTTCTATATTGTCATTAGTTATATAAATTTACAAAAGTAGTTACACCAGCATTAATTTACACTACCGCACTCATATAGCTCGAATGTACAATTGGAATATGCAAATTAACATGTAAATACTTAAAGTTGACTTTATTTTGTTAGATAATAAATGTTTGGCATTGGGCTCTCAAGTTAATATTGTACTTTACTGGGCCTTATTTTTAAATTTATTCATGATTGTACTAGTTTATTGATTTGATCTCTAAATTTATTTTAACTATTGACTATTATTATTATTATTTACAATTATTATACTTCAATGAATTAACTATTGTATATTAGTGCTCATAACATTTTATGTATAAATTGTTAATGTACTATAAAATAAAATTACAATTGTAACAATATACTACTTAAGTGTTATCAAAAAAATACGGAGTGATTTACATGATAAAAAAGTTCAATGATTTTTGTAATATTTATCAATACATTATAACTATTATTCAATTATACATTATGTCTTACATCTTAAGCATTTTATATATTTTATCTTATGTAACTTGATAAACCATTGTAATTGTTTCACCACGTTGAATTATAATTTATAAATTGTAACTTTTGGTGATTGGTGATAAATGAATGGCAAAAATGTTAGTCAGCTGGATTACTCATGTAAATTTGACTTTCATTTAAGATAAGCTGGTGTTATACGAATATAGGTACAAAAGAAAATACATTTAATCTAAGGATAATTTCAAAAAAAAAGTTTATTTTAAGGAATATATGGATAAAGAATATCCTGAGGTATGGGCTATTCTTTTTAATAATTTATATTGGATAGTGTCTAAATCACTATTGTGAGTTGAAAAATTAAATGACCAGATAAGAGACCCAAATTCGAGGTTTGATTTTACATTTGATTTATAGAGTTTATAAGTATATTTCTAAAACCATATGTAAATTGTATTCATAAAACCAAGCATCTTGTAAAACTTAATAACAATTGTTTGAACAACAAGTCATAATTTAGAGTAAAAGTCCTTTGGCCAGTTGAGAAAACACAATTTAAAAGAATATTAAATATAATATTTTTATTGGCTGATCAGATGAAAACACTCTGAATTTTACCTTATAAGCAATTGTTATTGTACATGGCAATTAAACCAGTATAGTCGAATAGAATACAAGAGTGCAGTTGTACCTGTAAATATTGAGACTATTCAACACTACTGCAAAGACAATACTCTACAGCAGGGATTACAAACCTTTTCCAACTAGTGAGCCACATAAAAAAATTAAGGTATCTGGTAATCTACCACTATTTGTTTAGGTATACTATACTGCCACTGAGAGAGCACTACTTGCTCGCACATCTAAATAACCGAGCTTCGTGTTTTAGTACCCAAATTTCTCTCACACCTAGGAAGATTTAGTGATGTAAATGCACAAAATCTGACGAGTTTTAGTCACCTCCCAGTAGCGCTTTCTCAGTGGCACAAATATATTTTTATATTATATGCAGCATAATAATACATTTTATAATAATATAATTCTTTGATTATTTTTTGATCCGAAAATTAATTGTATGTTCTTCATAGCCTTCATAGTCTTTAACTTAAAGATTACGCATTTGATTAAAAGATATTGGTATACTTCATTTTTAATAAGATCGACTAATATTTCTTTAAAGATCGACCAGTCAATCACTATCCATTCAGAACGAGCTTTCTAAGTTTACCGACAAATATGAGTTAAGGCTGGATCAATACGCCAATCCAGCAGCAAATCAACTACTCGATAAAACTCAAGGCATAAGGCGACTCAAACACCAATGACCATATTATGGCTCAATATAAAATATTATAACCCAAACATGTTTTTTTTAACCTAACCAAAAATATTTATCTATTTAATATGACCATTGAAATGATTGGTTAAAGATCATTGATCGTTATAACAAAAAAGCTTTTGGGTGATTAAAAAAAATATAAATTATCAAATATATATTAATAATAAATCATAAAAATAATATCAGTCTTGTTTATTTTATCTTTATGATATTTAGTATGTAAAGCTGTTACTTTATAATAAAACTTTCACTCATAGCTTTCATAAAATCTTCTTCAGTTACCATTAAATTGTCATCAGTTATACATTGTTCGCCTGAAATAAATTAAAATATTTATAAAATGATAAAATGTATAATTCCAACAGTATGTGTATTTACATTAAAATATAGATAAAAGTTTACCATTAATATGTGTTAGTCGTTGTTGGATAACTCTTCTAGCACAATTTAACCATGCATTATGACACATTCCATACAATTCAGCTCCCGTTACTTGATCTGGCAAGTGGTCTATTAAGTCTTCTAGATGAAAATTTGAATGCAAGTTAAATCTAAAAAAAAATTAAAGTTTTTAGAATATTTTTAAAAATATTACAAGTTGATATTCATAAATTATTTGAAATTAAATTATATAATATATTGTGTATAAGCTATACTTTTAATATTTAAACAACTTATTATTAACTGCACAATGCATACATGTTTATTATTTTGACAGTTCAATATATAGATTTAAAAATAAAAGACAAATCAATATTGTTTCATTTATTTAAATAAAACTATACGTACTTTTTAGTCAATGCTCTTAAGACATGAAGTTTTGATTCTTTATCATTACAACCACCAACATAAACACTTTTATCAAGTCTAAAAGAAATAATTATTTTCAATAAAGCATGTTAAAATTAATATTTAAAATAATACCTTCCTGGGCGTAAAAGTGCAGAATCAATGAGATCTGGTCGATTTGTAGCACCCAATACAAATATTTGCTGATTTTCTGATGTCATTCCATCCATTTCGGTTAGCAATTGTGATACAACTCTAGAATTATATATAATATGCAAAATTTATTGCATTATAGAATATAAAAAATCCATACCTATCTCCAACACCTCCAGAATCTCCATTTTGACCTCGTTTTGGAGCCAAAGAATCAAGTTCATCAAAAAACAAAATACACGGTATAGCTGAACGAGCCTTGTTAAACACTAAAAAATTGTTTTAAATATTAGTTAAATATTAATAATATTTGTTTGTATATTTTCTCACCATCTTATATTACATATATTTTACTAGCATAACTTTAACCAAAACATTATATTAGTGTATAATATAAATTTACCTTCTCGTACATTAGCTTCACTTTGTCCAATATACATATTGAGTAATTCAGGACCTTTAATTGATAAAAAGTTGTATTTACATTCAGTTGCCACGGCTTTTGCTAATAATGTTTTTCCAGTTCCAGGTGGACCATATAATAATATTCCTAGGTACAACATTTTAACATCAAATTATCTTTGAAAAATGTATTATTGTATAGATTATAGACTATTATCACCTAAATATTTAAATACATATAATGTCTTGATTTGCATAAAGAATGTATTCATTTAATGGTTCACTTAAATGTAATAAACCAATAATGAGCCACTAAATCCTGTATAAGCAGTGGTCGAAATGCCTCAAAATAAGGGGAGGGATGCCATCCTTTTGTATCCCCCCCACATTGACCACTGTGTATAAGGAATACCATTAGCTAACTATTGATTTATTAAATTCTTTGCAATAGTTAAAGAATAATGGTATAGAGTAATACATGCATGCAATAACACCAAACACCAAATTACATAGTGTGTATACAGTTTCTTAATATTCAAGCAAATAATTAAAAATGGTTTTGACCATGTGATCACAGGGATAGGTATACACGACAGCACCAAACACTGTTAGCCTCACTCAGTTGCATACATTGTGGTTTCTTTTAATTTATATCATACCGAAAAAAAATCTTCAATAAAAAAGTATTTCCGTAAAAGTGAATTTAATGCAGTACAGCTAAGTATGAAGTCATATTTTAATGCAGTAGCGAAGTGAAAAGTGTTAATGTTTTCAATACCATGCTAAAATTATTAATAAATGGATTACCTGATCTCCTCATATTAAATGTTGAAGGTTTCAATGCAGACATAATTTCTTCTTTCACATTCATTAAGCCACCAACATCATCCCATTTTACAACTTGTACTGATGGTGCTCCAATTGATTTAGTAAACATTAAATTTATTTTTTCTATAAATATGAATCAAACAATCATTTTATATTTTAACATAATTAATTAACATATTTTGATACTACGAAACTTATCTTAAAAGATACTTGTATAAAATGGACACATTTAATGGTCAAATGAATGTCCATTATATGTAGATTTAATTGTATAATACAATAATATAAACTCTTAAACTATAATTTACAAACCTATTGAAGTCATTATATCAGCTTCATCCAGTATGACATCAGTAGATTTAATATTATGTACAGACATATGATTCCTTAAAAAAAATACATATGTATTAATTAACAAAGACATACCTATTTATATTTTAAACATAAACAGCTTCATTTATAAATTTACTTTACAGATAATAGCAGCAGTGTCATATAATTTGTATAATTGAAACCAGAAGTATGATCTACAATTTTTTTAATCATTTTGTTATCTAATACTACAGAATCTCTTTTCAATATCCATTTCAATAATTGTTCTCGATCTATTTTGCTTAAATTTCCGACTTGCAGACTTTGCAAAAATAGTCTTAAGAAAACAGGACTTAGTTCCTCTTTGGAGTTAGCAGTAGCAATAATTATTATAGGATTATTGGTTTTGACATTTATTTGTCTGATAAATAAATCCAAAATTTCTTGTTCTAAATCTTTAGTAGAAGATAAACATAAAGCCTGAAATTATAATTCATTATTTTAAAAATTTAAAATTAAAAAAAAAAAATTATATTCACTTCAATATTTTCTAAGTGTAATATACATGGTGTCATTTTTCTAATTTCATCAAAAAAGTATTCTATTTTTTTTTTAAATTGGGCAATATTATTTGTAGGCCAGTTAAAACAACATTGAGATATGTATTGTATTCCAAGGTATTTTGACACTGATTCAATTAATAATTCTTTGCCACATCCATTAACTCCATAAACCAAGAAAATTGGTTTTAAAGAATGAAAATCTAAAAACAAAAAAAAAAAAAATACTAATGATAAAATGCTTTAAAATACATATCCAAAAGTCAATATGTGTTGGTTGTAGTGCTCATACACATAATCATATATGTATTAAATTACAGTGGCCGTAACTAATAATTATTGCTGGGATTTATATGTACCAAAAAACTAAAAATATGTACATAATACATATATATGTAATTAAAATGACCAAAATATGTAGTAAAAAATAAAATAAATTCAAAAATATGTAAACGTGTCGAGTTATAATACAACTCTAAATAATTCAATCAATTTGAAGTAAAACAATAATAGACCATGTAGTGTTCTAAATTTTCAAAATTCAAACTACAGTGATCTAGTCTTAACACTAATTTATACCTACAAAATAAAATATGTAGTAAAAATAAAAAAATATTTTATAAAAAAAAATTTAAAAATATGTAAATGCGTTAAATTTAAATACCTTTATACCTATAAACACTTACAATTTTTAAGAGTAGGTATTATTATCAAAGTATAAATGTACAATGCTACTTAACCACCAACTTTGATGCTGAAATTGACAAATTATTTTACGTATTGGATTTTTTTGTCAATATTTACGAAATATGTAAAAAAAAGTAGACATTTTATAAATAATGTAAAATTATGCAAATTAACATGCAAAATAAAATATGTTTTATTTTATTGCAAATCACGTGAAACAAATTAATAATTTGCACTAATTAATTTATCATGTTTTAGAATATGTATTTACATACAAATCCCAGCTCTACTTATAATGATCACATTTGTACAAGAGTATTTTGATCACTAGGGCTGTGAATTTAATGCACTAAAGAATCTTAAAAAATGTCAAAAAAATGCAATGAAATATGCACAAAAAAATTAATGCAAAAAATTCAATATAAAATGCCAAAAAAAATATAGTATAAAATTCATTTTAAATGATTTTTAATTTAATTTAAATATTTATATTAATATTAGGTACAGAATACATTAAATACATTAGTACATTACAAGCATAAAAAAGTGTTTATTTAATAAAAAGAAAGATGATAAAAATGTTGATTGAATTTGAATTGTCTATACTTAAGGATATTTACCTGAAACATTTTTTAAAAACTTTAGAAATAAATAACTTACAAATAACTTATGTAGTTATCTAACAATTGCCTTCTTTATTGAAGTATATATAGCCTGTGTACAATAACAAATTTTTTTTTTCAAACATTTTTCCTGTCAATTGACGGAATTTGATTAAAAATACTGGAAAATGAACTAAAAAAGGAAAATGCAACCTAAAAATGTACAAAGATGAGCTAAAAATTTAAAATGTCAAAAAATTCAAAAAAATGCAAAATAAAAGTCACATAATTGAATTTGTAATTGCATACTTTAAATTATGCACTTTCCTACAAATTCACAGCCCTAATGATCAATATAAATTGTGATTTGAAAAGCAGGTAAAAAGTAATTTTTTACATACATAGTAATAAGTGGATTGTTGCATGTCAAAATACAAAGTAAATACATACATAGGTAATACCATTGATTATAAATACTAGTATTTATAATCAATGGTAATACGTAATAATGTAATTTAAATTGAATTTTGTTTATTTTAAAATTTAGTAGGTAGAAAAAATTTAATTTTTTAATTTTGATATTATATTTATTTAGTTTCTTTCAAAATAATCAGTGATATGAGCCTGTTTTTTTGGTTAAAGATAGACAAGCTATGCTCTAAATTGTTTAGGATAGCAAAGTAATCTGTGCCTATGATGTCCTCTATGTGCACATTCAACCTCTATTTTTTAAATGAATTATTTCTATTTCCGATTTTATTATTATTTCTGATACCTAAAATGGAAATACACAGTAAGCGGCGAAAAGTACATTTTTAAGGGCTGTTATTTCCTGGAATTTTTTTATCAACATAAGCGGCAGGTACTTATAACCAGTGGACATTATAAGCCGTATCCTCTATAATTCAATCGAGTCAATTTCAAAATTGAAAAAATGTCGAGTCCTCAACAAATGACAGGTACCTATTAAAAAAAAAGTTGAGTAATCAACAAATATAGATTTTTAAAAAAAGGGTCAATACTGGGAATTGCTTGAGTATTTCAAATTGTACTAGAATTTGGGATCTTTCAGTTATTCATAGTTGAAGCATTTATTTTTCAATAAAATACTATACCTAGTATTTCTAATTTCTAATTTTAAAAATTGAGAAACAAATACTCAATTTAAGGTGAATTCTCATATTTTTCAAGTACAAACATTTTTTTAGTCGAGTCGAGCACTTGATTAATATAAAATAAATATGTTCATCTATATACATCAAAAATAATGTCTGTCTGTAATCTGTATAGCTCTAATGTCTGCCTAAACGGCTAGACTGATTTTGATAAAAATGTTTGTGTGTGTTTGAGTAATTCTTTGGATGGTTTAGATTCACAATTGGACCAGGTAGATTCATCCAGAGGATTGCTCAAACAGGGATTTTGAGATTAATGAAGTAAATTTTAATTTATGAATGATTGCTATTGGTTATAGAAGAAATATAAATATATTTACTGAAAATCAGTATTTTCTTTTGTATTTATTTTTTTCTTTTCTTTTCTATACCTATTGGTTGCCACTGTTTAATCTAAGTATGCCGCTCAAGTATGCAATCAAAATAAAAAAATTAATATAAAACATATTATATTCATATAGAGTCCGCAATCTACCGTAAATGGATTACCTACCTGATAATAAACTACTCGCATTATTATAAGCAAGTCTCATATAGAGTTGGCATTTTTAACAGACAACAAAGTACATAGGATTGGCTAGTATTATAAATAAATATACCTCTATGAATGTTGTAAGTATATTTTAAGAATAAAAAAATTCTCAATATCCAAAGTTTTGTATTTCAGAACCTAAAATGGTCTTAAAATAGTCCCAAATAGTTTGGACAGTCAAGTTTCTACTGTTCATTCATTTTTATAAGTTAATAAATTATTGTTATTTTAAACCTTATAACTACTTTGTTAGATGTATTAGATACTAAAAAAATAATGAATTTTTCACCTGAACGAATCTGTTGAATAAATGGTTTTATCATTGACACAATTAGTTCTCCTTCATCATTCATTCCACCCGGAAATATGTTCAAAATAAAATCATTGAAATTATTTATGCTTAAATTTTTTAAATTATTTATTGCAAATTCTTTTTCCATAGGTAAATATGTGTTGGTTGAATATTGAACTTCATTTAATTTAGTATGTAAATTAGATATATAAAATTTATTTTTACAGTTGTATAAATTTACTTGCACACTTCTTTCTTCTACTTCAACAATTTTAATGTAGTAAATTGTAATACTAGTAGGCTCTACTAAATATTCTGTTTCTGGGTAAGTCTTTTTTAAATCCAGTTTTAATATATCTCCTATTGATACACATTTTGGTAAAGAAAAATAATTGTAAAGTATTTTATCCAGTAGTTTTTGTGTTTCTGCATTAAATGCCAAAGGTTTCATCACAGATATTGATACTTTTGGTGTTATTTTTGGCTCAAAGTCTCTTAATGGTTTGATTATTCTCAGCAGACAAACTTGACATGTATGATTGCAATTACATAGATTAAATAAATTTGTCGAAGTTAGAATGCAATCAGATTCTGTATAAGAGTTCAACACTATTATTCTGTTGTAGTGGGACAAAGGTAGACTACAGGAAACTGTAGTTTTAACATTGACTAGCACCCATTGCATGTTGTTCAATTTTAATTTGTTTAATGTTTCCTGGCTGACGAATATACAATTGTGAATTTCTAAATTGTGTTTTAGAATTGTTATATTGTCATAGTATTGTGTTACAAGTTTTTCCAATATATTGTCAGGAACACATTTAAATTTTATTTCAGTTCCAAAAAGGATGTTGACTCTAAGATCACGAAGCATTGTTGACCGTATGACTAGAGATTTGGTTCTGTTAAAACACGATTTCAATACATAATTTACGAATGAAATATATTGGAGAAGATATTTCCTCTGAATCGCCATTTTTAGGGTTACAATTGTACGGGTTATCTAAAGAATGAAACTTATATCAGCGGATTGCGTCAGACGAAAATATTTTGTATGACTCGCGGCGTTTGCTTATTATAAGCTATTACAATAATACGGCCGTCCCGGTGTGACTAAAGAAAACTAAGCAAATACAAAATATGATTAGTTTCTTACACACTTAAAACTCATACACCTTAACACGTTAAAACTAATCAAACGAAAAAAAAAAATTACCGACAACAATGAATACCGAAAAATCACGAACTATTAAAATTACTTCATTCGAAAAATTCCTTCAAACATCAAACAATACCAGCATAGTAAAAAGATTAAAGCACCACGAATTAAAAATTAAGAGATGCCGGTAAACGTTTCCGCAACCCACCGACAAAGATTTATATCTTAATTCGTGCAGCAACTGCACGAGACACGAGTCACGACCGATGATAATATTTATTTTTTTACGTAGTATTATCTTCCTCCTTGTGAAACGCATTGATAACATTTACGTACCCCATAAAAACACAGAATAATCAGCTGCTTTCAAAATGATTAACTAAAATATGTTTACCCCACCCCACAGAGTACTCTACTACTCTATGCCACGCCCAGATGCTACTCTGATAACTGACGAACGCAGTCGATTTACCGTGGAAACGCTTCGTTGTACATTATACATAGTTTGTTATCAGATACTTATTATTGTGAGAGCCTCATCAGCGTTATTAACGTTATTAGCTATTATTTTTGAGTATTTACACAGCATTCGATTTTTTTGTTATAATTATACACATTACACAATATGGTTTTATTTGAATTTAAATGCAACTATAATTTTGTACTTATATGAAATGTATTGGAAGTACAGTTCCTCTCTTCCGCGCCCAGACTGATCAAATTCTGCTCACAGTGACGTTTTCGACCGTCAACCAGCCAGCCCGAACCAGGGGCAATCGTTTGCGGATTTCGTGTGACGACCATTAGATGTGCTTCGGTGGTTTTATATCTTAAACTATATTATGTTACCAACAAAGCTCAGAGCGTTAAACGATTGTTCCACGGACGAGAGTAGCAACAATGATGATGTGCCAGTTAAAATTACCAAAGAAGCGTTGGTTGGTGATTTTCAATTATGTACTCAGAAAAAATACTAAACAGTTTTATGGTCTAACAATTGATAGGTTTATGTTTATTTATTGTTTATTTCTTTATGTATTAAACAGAAAAAAACTTGCAGTTATTATTATCAAAATTATTTGGATGTTTAAGTTATTAATACTAGCTATAGAATGACAATATCCATCTGCATTTTTGTTAAAAAGTTGTTTTTCTCTTATTGTTGATCTTTTTTTATATTGAGAATTACATTTATACATTATACCTTTCCAATTATAGAATCTTCTTTTTTTATTTCATTGTGACCTAGGACAGTCAAAATGTATTTGTGAATACTTTTTACCCTTATATTTTATCTAAAGTATCTCCAAAAATGTTTGATTCCAAATTATTCGTTATACTTATATTCCAATTATGTTAATTCATTAAAATTAAAGTACAAATAATCAGCTTAAATTAAAATATAAATCTGTATATTAGCACTTTAAATTAAGTGATTGTGTAAAACTATTTTTCATTCTATAATAATTAATAAAATACTTAATTTCAGGAAACGAAAGCAGAACTACAGTATAGTCAAGCATTACAGTGTTTAGCAAGAGATCAATTAGACGAAGCAGAAAAACAACTATCAAATTTGTTGGAAAAAGAAATTATTACTTCTGTATGTTTAAAAATATATCCAATATCCATCTCCGAGTTTTAAATAATTTCAAACTAATTTTAAATATTTTTGTTTAGCTGAATACTACATTGAACCAAAAAGATAAATCTCAATCTTTATTAGCTCATTTAAAATATTGTTGCCTTACTAATTTAGGAAATATTTTATTAAAAAAATCCAACTACCGTGAAGCCTTAATCCACTATCAAGAGGTAAATTTTATTGAATAATTTATTTTAAATGTAATAATATTGATTGTATAAATGTTTATCTATTATTCAGGCTTTAAAAATGGACAATACTGACTTGAATCTATGGTACCGACTAGGCCTTACTCATAGCAAGTTGTATCAAACTGATCAAGCAATATCAGCATTTTTAGAGGTAACTAATAAATAAAAAAAACTTTTTATTACTATCATCTGAATAATATGGTCGTATACGGGGTATGTCCAAATGTAAGCAATCATGCACAAATTATGTACATTTACCCCCCAGGATTCATAATTTCTTTTGTTTCCTAATAAGCAATGGATTGTAAAAATTACCCTAAAAACAACATAATTACATAACATTTTTTGTACCATGTTGTTTTTTCAATTTTCAATACTATATTAAAAGTTAACTAAACATTTTCCTTTATTTATTATATGTACGGAGGATCGTTATAATAATATCTGATATTATAGATATTGAAAATTTTCTATTGCTCATATTATATTTGTTATTATTAAAGTAAAACTATAAACCTACTATAGTTTTTACTTATGATACTAGATATATGCCAAGTAATAAGTTTAGAACTATTATATACTGTATATTTAAATACTCTATTTTCATATATTTCATTTTTGTCTTTTGGTTAAGAGGTATTCCACCATTAAATCAAACGTAAAACAATTCTTATTATTCTGACAATAACAGTAATCAATAAATTTTAGTATTTGAATATACTTAGTTGTTGTATATTTTGACCAAGCTGCATAATATGCAAGTCGCTTAATTAATTCTTTGTTCTTTTGCGTATGTTCTATTATTTTTTCTCAAATTCAGTCAAACTTTTTTTAGTATATAAACCTCAGCTATATACTTTGCCTCTAATTTATAGTTGTTATTCAATTTAACATTGTCTTTAGAACAATTAGAACGATTTAGGTCTTTAACCCAAATTACAAAATGTAATACAGTAAGAGAAAATTATATCCAATCAAATTAATAATTTATATTATCTGTAACTAATGGCAACTCTATATGTAAGCAAAACAAATATTCAATTTTCGTGAGTTGAAACAAAGTTCAAGTGTTAGTCACGCTATAGGGATTGAAAAAAGAAGCTACAAACTCTCCTAGAGAATTATTTATATAAAGATTAATATAGTTTTTGTAGTGACCTATTTGTTTTGCATCATAGTTTAGTAAAATAGTTTGAATAACTTTCAATTTATTACAGCACATTTTACTGTTTTAGGTATTGCTTACAACAATAACAATAAAGTAATAAAATATTATTTTTCAGGGTATTAAATGTAATCCTAATCATTGGCCTACTTTGGATAAACTTATAACTTTATTATATGCAAGCAACGAATATGTTTGTTGTTTATATCATATAAGCATATCACTTAATTTAGATTCTGGATATTTAAAAGGACATTTTATCAAAGAAATAATCTTCAAAAAATTTCCATCATTAATATCCTATTTTAAAAGTTATTGCTCAGACGGGTAAGTAAAATATAAGTTAAAATATTTTAATTTAAAACAATTTCCATTTTTGTAAATACTTTCAGAGGTTTAGATATAACATGTGATGAAATAATAGATACAAATATGCAGCAAAAGATATTAAATGATATTGAAGATATTAAGAAAAATGATCCTACTTTATGTTTAGAAAAGTCGTGTAAAAATATGGAATGCAAACCAAAATTGTATGCTAAGCCTTTAGTGTTTAAAAGTTGGGTTCAACTTGGAAAATGGCTGCTTACAATTTATGATCATATGTTTGAAAGTTATGAACATTCGGTAATTATAGCTTATTTGATTTAAATATTATCTGTTCCTATTTTATTACTAGTAAATTATTACAAAAATAATTTATTTAGTTATAGTTACATTGGCTTTGTACATTTTCATCGTTTATTTTGTGTATAATTTTATTTATGTAAGAAGAAAATGTGTTTCAAGAATTAATGGTTGCATACTTGTAATTTTCATTTTCATATTTCACAATTTTATTTTTTTGGTCATTTTTTAATTTGTAACTATTAATTAAAATAATAGCGAATGTTATATAAAAATATTATAATTAAGTAAATATTATACTATAAATACTTCAAATATATCAAATTACTGTTCAAAATTAATCCTTTTTTTTAAATCAAAAAATATAATATTGAAAACAGTATAATTTCTTTCATTATTATTTTTTAATCTTATGAAACTGCCAAGTCCAATGTGTATTTCAGGTAGTATTCACGAAGCAAAGATACATAACAAACAAAGTATAAATATATCAATACAGTAATATAATATTTCATAAAATATTACTGTTTCTTAAATAATTCACAGAACAAAATGAGATATGGAAAGAGTAGACATGTGGTTTAAAAGCTGAAATAAAATTTTTTAAATATTAAAGTTACATAGACATAATTTTTTTTATAATCATTTAAATTCCAAATTTCTATAAAATTCATCGAAATCACAAACATTTTCAAAGTATTATGTAGTCAACATTTTTTAAAATTTTCAATTTTTATTTCGAAATCTTGCAAATGTAATAACTGGTTCATTTTATGTAGTTCATACCTACTGTAATAAAAAAACCACTGATAATTTTATGATAATAGATAGTTATGAAGATGCAATGTTTTTGCAAAAATGAATTCAATTCACCTATTATTACTAATAATAATATTAATGCAATAAAAAAATATTCTATACTGACACTGTTTCTGCTCAGAATCGTTTTTTTGCTTACAATGATATAATATTATTTAGTTCAAATTTAACACATCCATTACAGTGACCCACTTGGCATCTAATGTACATCTGTGCAAAACCAATCGTCCACATTTTTTTATTGATTTATCGAGATGATGTCTCATTGTAGTATGATTTATCGTTTAACTATACTAGATATTATTTATAGAATTTTATAAATATAAAATAAATATTTTTTTTGTTATGAAAAAAACTAATTAATAAGACTTGGTCGATATGCCTGGCTTTGGTGCATCTGTTATTATTTTTATATTATTTAGTATATCAATATACTTGAGTTAACTGTGTAATTTAACATTAATATTAATTTATGTTTCAAATTTTTCAGCTTCTTTATGAACCTATTCAATTTAATCATGAATCATTAACTTTGAACACAACAGAAAACCAAATTATGGTAGATGAAAAATGTATTGAAAACGATTTTGAAAAGCTTTCATTTAAACTTGATGGTATATATTATAAAAACAAATTTTTGTTATTACTATATAATAATTTATAATTTGTATTATATTATTTTGATGTTGGTATTAATAGTTCCTGCTACAAAACGAAGAAAAAGTTCACCATCACTTGCAGATCAACTGAAATTAAGTCGGCGATCAGCTCGAAATAAAGCAAATTCAAAAGTTAGCGAGTCAACACTGGTCAAATCGATATGGAATACCATGCCC